TTTTTTCCATTTTGTCACGGTGCCAGGGTGACGCTCGCTACCTGATCAGCAACTCGAAGGACCAGTCCATCAAGCTGTGGGATGTCAGGAAGTTCTCGCCCAAAGAGGGGCTGGCAGCTTCCCGTCTGGCTGTCACCCAGCAAAACTGGGACTACCGCTGGCAGCAAGTTCCCCAGAGAGGTGAGGAGGGGAGGGGCCGAAGAAGGGCGAAAGGGAGGTACTCGTGGTAAATGAGTCAGAGGGGAAGTTGGAGGACGAGAGGAGGAGAGGTCACACAGAGGAGGAGATAAAGATGAAATGATGATATTAAAAAAAGAGAGAGAGGAGGCAGTAACAGGGAAGGTGTGTGTGTGTGTGTGTGTCTGTGTCGTGAGGATAAAAAGACTGTAAAGCCACACGTAGGGAGAGTGATTACCATTACAAGCCAAAGAGGAGGGAAGGAGTGGAGGAGAGGTGAAGGATAGGAGTTTGGATAATGAGATAGAGCAGGAAGAGAGGAGGAGGAGATGAGGCGGTAAAAAACTAAACAAAATGAAACGATCTAGTTCAGGGTGCAGTTTCTTCTAAGCTTGATATAAATCTACATGTTCTTTTGGATTAAAGTTGAGGACAAGTGTGAGGAAAGAGCATAAACAGTAAAAAAAAAAAAACATTTATAAAATGGAGAAATCCTTGTGCATCTTTTTGTTATTTAGCAGTTTTGTGTTTGTTTACTTGCTCTTCGCAGCCCTGAAGAGACACAAGCTGACAGGCGACACCTCAGTAATGACCTACCGAGGTCATGGTGTCCTCCACACCCTGATACGCTGCCGTTTCTCACCAGAGTTCAGCACCGGGCAGAGATTCATCTACTCCGGCTGTTCTACGGGCAAAATCGTCAGTAAGTGACTGTGTGTGTCTGTCAGTGTGTAAACGGCGACAAAGTCTGCGTGAGCTGATGCACAAAGTAATATTTGAAGAATCTAAAATCAGTTGAACCCTGTGTGTGTCCAGTCTACGATGTGCTGACCGGCACGGTGGTAACCAGACTGGTGGGCCACGACGCGTGCGTGAGAGATGTCAGTTGGCACCCGTACGAGGACAACATCATCAGCAGCTCTGTGAGTGCGGTTAATGCAGAAAGTGTCCTGCTGGAATCAGCATGTGAAAGCTCGTCATCATAAATATCACATTAAACCCAAAAGAAAGCCCTTTCCAGAAGTTGTAAAAAGATTTAATAGAGTGGCGTTAATCCCAGACACTGTTTCCTCTACTAATGGAATAAGGCGTAATTTAGAAAAGTCTGAGACAATTTGATACGTTTTCTGGTAATTACGGGGGAAAAAATGACCATTTGCAGAAATAAACGACTGTTTTTTTCCCCCTCACATATTCCATTAAATTAGACTTTTTAGCAATTTCACTACTATCACTACTTGATAAAATGGAAAACAACATTAAAGCAGTGCAAATGAACTGAGCTGTTTCGACTTGAAGAAGGAAGCAGACATGAGATCCAGAGTACTTTATGTTTATACTTTACACCGCTGAGGCCTGGACCTAATCACACACAAGCAAAGCTGGATTTATGGTCGTGCAGTGCTGCTTCCTTGCGTAGCTCTTTGGGTGTGCAGAGTGGAGGATTGTGGGAGTTCAACCAGCAGAGAGGCTACAGTAAGGGTGCAGTCCTGCAGAAAGTAAACGCAGCTTTGCCCCCGAGCAACGCGTCAGAGGAAAAAGTGAATTAAAAATCCCAAAAAGCAAAATAAGAAGCGCAGAAATTGGAGGTTTTCCACATATTTTGACTCGGCCACTAAGTGGGTCTGCAGAACTCTGTGTAGCACATATGCGCTATTGATGTAGTAGCATATCAAGACCATAAATTTAGCTCTTTGCTTGGCTAATAAAAATGCTGCTTCTTTTCCATTTGTGGTTAAAAGCTGCCGCTTGTTTTGTTGGCATAAAGCATGAATCATGTCACCGTTATTTAACAGAGCAGACAGGCTCAGCAGCTGTTTTAAAAGTGATAACAAGAGTCCATCCAGCTTAAGGACATTAAACTACGGGGCTTAGATGGCACAGTTATTATTTTTTAACCTCTGATCTCCATCCTTTCTCTACAGTGGGACGGAGCGGTTCGAATGTGGGAGCACAGACAAACTCATCCCCTAGACGAGGAGCGAGACACGGCAAGGGGAGGAGGAGGAGAGGAAGGGAGCTGTTGGAGGAAGTGATGTCACCACAGAGGAAGGCAGTGAGCTCAGAAGGCCTGGGAGAGACTTGAGTATCTGCTAACGTTAGTGCGGAATATTAGTGATTCAAATGAAAGTGTGGCTGAGAAAAGTTCACTGGGAAGGCGCCTGAGCCTCGTGCTGTCCAGTGCCGATCAGAACACGGCGGGATGGCTGTTGCCGCCTGCAGCTGTTTTTCTGTTTTTTCCCCCTCTGTTTTTTTGTTTTTTGCCTCATGTCTTGCACAGAATAAGGAGGCCAGAGCTTTTTCAATCCAGCCTGGGACATTTTACTCAAAATGCGCTGAAGCTGCACTTAACGAGCTGTTGGAATGAAACAATAAGTTAGTGATTATATACATATATATATGGAAAAAACAACAACTTTGGATGTTGCAGGGGAACGTAATGATGATAATTTTGTAAAAATGTATAGAATTTTAATTTGTTTGTGTGTGTGTGCGTGCGTGTGTGTTCAGGGAGTGTATTTAGATTGTCGTCAGTGTCCTGAGTCTGTTTGGACTCTGCTGTTATGAATAACACAACACAGGTTGTGTCCTATTTTAGGGAACATCTACCTTTGCAGACTCAACATATAGTCATAAACATTTTTTTTCCAGTTGCCAAACTCATGAAGCTGATAATTGCGTTAGCTTTCCTGAGTTTATTCAAAACTCGACAGGCTCAAGGAAGTTTCACAGTCATTATTCGACCTGGTCTGCCTCATCAGAAAGAGTTTGAAAGTTTTCGCTGTTATTCTGAATCCTCTGTAGGCTTCCTCAAGGCTAATGTTAACTCCCTGTCCCTCAGACACAGCAATATTCTCGTTCCAGGGTCAGCACTCAGTGTAATTTTTGGCTAAATGTAAGCCTGTGATTTGATTCAAAGATTTGATTGTGTGTGATTAATGTGTTCAAGTCAGCACTTTGGGGAACACGCACATGGTTTCAAAATGATCTGTATATGCAATTTTCAGGTGTTTATATCAAAGCTCATATTTCACTCTCAGACTTTGCAGTTATAATAAAAACCTTTCTTCAAACGTATCACGAAGGGGCTGTTGGTCATTGATCAGATGTTTCAGGCTTTAAAAGTGTGGGAGCTGCAGGAGAAACTAGAACGACACTTCAAACAAGACACACGACTCACGGGATGGGATTTTTAAACATTTGTCATTGAGCTTCTCTGTGTGTTTTATAGAGCTAACTGCAGCTGCCAGATATGCACACAGTTGACAATTAGCTGCTACAGGAGCCATAGCAAAGTTGTCTGAAGGTCATTGTAATGTCAGCAGTGCACTTACCGGCCTAAAATTAGACCTAACATACTTTGGCGTGCCTGGTTTCACTTACACCTACTGTTCTGACTTCTTACAAAAGACTCCAAAGCTCTGCTGGAAAAGTGCATCATCACAGTGAATTTCAAAAGTTTGCGCTCATCATTTATTATTTACTACACTGGAAAGCTTTCTCTGAATAACTTTGAAGACTAACGAGAGAAACCAAAAATCCACCACCTCATGGAAGTTAGCAGCCCGTCTGCCATTAGTCTGCACTGGCTTGTGAAAACGGCATCAGTGTGCTTTATGTGAGCATGAGTACCATGGAAAGACTAAATGCAGTCCATTTGGCTCAGACGGTTGAAGGGGGGCTTTAAGAAGCTCCAGTCTGAGTACTGAGCCTGGAAATAAAGCAGACTGAACGTGCTGTGAGAAATGCAGCTGTCCATGGCGCCAAATGCAAGCTGGCAACCGCTTATAACTTAAATTAGTTTTGGCTCCAGCAGCTGATTCTTAGACTGGAGAGTCCTGAAGGAGAGAACCGGAAAAGGAGCTAAATGATCCAAGGTCAGAATGAGACTACTATTATTATTACTTTTCCTAATGCAGGAAATGCAAATATAAGTGAGCAGCATCACACGAGAGCTATTTTAAAAGAACTGGGAGCTTTGTCATGAACTAAAGATCCATTTTCTTTACTTTTTAATTGTGTTTGAGCATTGCTGTGAAAATAATGGGGTCAGTTACAGCAGCAAGCATTACTGCATCTCCTCTTTCTGCCTACGGGGGAGGGGTTTTGAGGGTAAAAGGGACATGAGGGGGGGGTTGTATTTTTGTAAACCATGTGTTCTCTCGCGTGCCTGACAGTGATAGAATAGAAAGGTCCTGGAGTGGGACGGGTGTCCTTCTCCCAGACAAAAGCAAGCGAGGCAGACTCCACAAAGTGGGAGGACGAACGCGGGTCGAACAACATGAATCTAAAGACAGGAAACTCCTCAAATGGCTTCACACCAGAGATCAGTTTGGATAAACTACACCGGATGGCTGCAGAGCTGATACTGCCTGGACGATCCATCTTGAGGCTCCTGAACACTGTTCTGGAGTTTGTTACAAACTTTCTGGCCCGAGTTTTAGGAAGCAGCCTGATCAGAAGACACTTCCACCTGCTGCTGTCTGGGTTGGTCCTCTTTGGGCCTGTGCTCAGCTTCTGGGTGTCAAAGTATAGCATCTTTGCAAACAGCAACCACTACCTGTACAGGTGAGGACTCCGGGAGACAATGAATTACTGCTTATAGTGCTTTGCGTACACCAGGGGTGTCAAACATAAAGCACAGGGGCCAGAATTGGCTATTAGGTGGAGATAGGTGGAGGACCTGTTTGTGGAGAGTTTAGCAATGATTTATCATGATTTAATTGGATGGAAATAATTGACTGAAATAGCTGTAGTAACTGCTGTCATTGCTAAAGGAAATAAATAATAAAATAATGATAAAGGCACTGCTCCTTTAATAAACTCTTGACTCTGTAATAAAGCCCAGCGCTCACTGTAGTGCTCGCTGGGCTTTTACTGCTTCAGCCCTCCTTAATCTGTTTTGGTGGCAAACTTTCACTGAGTCTTTATTCTGAGTCAGCTTGTGGAACAATACAGTTCAGCATTTACAATCATCATAATGTCATTTGGCCCACTGTTTTAGGTTCATATAATCCATCACATATTTTTAAAATCCAGTTATATTAAATTATTCCTCATTTATTTTTGTGGATGCTTTGCTGACCACTCATTTGTCACATACACTGAGTAAACCCCCCACCCAAAACCCAATGCAATATTAATATACCACTTTTGAAAAACAAAAGCAGCACATAAATATTGTATGATAATGTCATTCTGAGGTATGATGGCAACTATGAGGCAGTGGCAGAATTAAAGTCTTCCTCAGACTTTTCAGTGCACTTACATGGAACTAATTAAGTGAAACCACCGGCTCATCAACTTTGATACCTCAAAGCAAGTTTGAGTGAACTGAAAACGTTAAAAAGACTCAGCTTTGCTGTAAAGGTTGGATTTTTATGCATATCAAAAATAGATTTACTTTCTGAGCACTGTGGTTAGCAAGAAGCTCCTGGATCTGACCTGCTGGCTGGCTGAAGTCTTTTTGTGTTCTGTGTGGAGTCTGGATGTTCTTTCTCTGGCTTTCGCCGCCAATTCAAAGACATAAATGTCAGGGTAACTGGTGAATCTAAACTGCTCCAAAGTGTGAATATGAGCATGAACGACTGACTTTCAACCTCCCCAGGATCCTCCTGTTGCTGTGACTGTGAGGGAAAAGCTGTAATTTTACACTTATTTCATTACTGCGTGTGTTTTGCTCATATATATGGTGTGTACTGATATCCTTATTCATCACGCTCTCACAGGAAGTTCCTGAGGTCCACTTGGGGTTGGACCTGCATCTTTACGGGCGCTTTCATCATCCTTCTCTCCCTCTCAGTCCGTCACTCCACCTCTCTTTCCCTCCGCCACCTCTCTCGAGTAGGCCTCGCGGGTTTGCTCTGGTGGAGTTGTCAGCGCCTCCTGACCCTGCTGGAGGATGCAGCGGGGACCTGTTACGAGCCCATGACCCCAGGCCAGGACGGCCAGAGCCCGGCCTCACCAGTACAGCCTCTGCTGCTCCTGCATGAAGACCAGAACAAGGCCTCCTGCCTGAAAGCCCACATGCTGTGGCGAGGCTACGAAGTCTCCCAGGACGTCCTCATCCTCTGCTTCTGCTGTCTGCTGCTTGTTGAAGAAATGTGTGTCTTTGGTCATCACTTGGAGCGACAGAAGCCTCTGCAGAGGTCACCCGGGACCCCGCTGAGAGTCGTCTTCCTCCTGTGTGTTCTTCTCCTCCTTGTTTGGATGTTTCTGCTGCTGTGTTTGCTTGCATACTTCCCAAAGTTTCCCTCCCAGCAGCTGGGTGGAGCTCTGGGCTACCTGGGGTGGAGAGGACTCTATCAGGGATTGTATAGACTCGGATCGAGATGGGGTTGTCCTGGTTTGCCCAGAGAGGGACTTTCTACCACGGTGCACACCAACAAACAGCCTTAGTAGTGTGGCACGCTTAATGAAAATGGTTAGATTTTGGCACTGAAATGTCCTTCAAAGCTCAGGAACAAACTTCCAAACCCTCTTTTAAGACTGCATGCTGTAAATCTGACATCACGTTAATAGTTTGCTTTCTTTAGAGGTCAAAATTAGTCCAAAAAGAAGCTTAGAAATCTCATTCAGACAAAGTAAGTGAGAAAAACTGCTGCTTTATTGTGTAATCTGAACCAAAATGCAGGCACAGTTAGAAAAAGATTTCTGAGAGCAGGTGTATCATTACTTGATGAAGAGTGTCATTCTACACTGGTTGTTGCTTATTTAAAAAAAAAAAAAAAAAAACGAGCCTGGAGTCTGTCTCAGTAGATGAGCGCTTTCCCATCTCCTCTGGGTCTCTTAATCTTGTCAAAGTTCTTGTTAATGATGTCAAACAACACAGCCTGGAGAGAGAAATAAAGACACAGAGTGTGATGCAGGAGCAGGATGATATAGGGAAGACAGACAGTTTACAGGGAGTCATAAAAGAGAGGGACGTCCAGATATGGAGCTGTAATCACGTCAAACAGCTCCTTTCATCATCGCCCGCAACGCCTTGTTCATTAGCGGCATCAAACACGGAGGACAATGGCCGAAGGAAAGAGACGAGCTGATTAATGGACGGGAGACGGGGCGCCAATCAATTTAACACAAGCACTGCAATTAGTTTAATTACCCTCCTATTAAGAAGGAATGGATTCCATTTAAGCTGCCGCTCCCGCCGGTGGACACGACGGGCATATTTTACACCCAAGCCGCTCAATTTAAAGTACAGAGCATGAAAACAGCAGATGGTACACGGAGTGTGGATCATGAGATTCAGGATACACGCAGTCAGAGAGGGCCAACTGTAAGCAAGAGGCAGTGGGTGTCTTACGTATGTATTGCGGACGTCCAAGACCACAAGGCGGAGCTCGCAGTATTGATATTGGTCCAGCTCGTGGACCAGCTGTCTGTAGTCTCCCTGCAGCACAAAACACACACCACAAACAGCGAGCGTATAAGCAAAACAATGTGTAGTATGATAAGCACATGACACAACAGCATCTAATTTATGCGGGACAGAATGTCCTCATAAGTTTTTTTTTTCAGCGCACCGGCACACATTTTTGTCATTCACACATTAATATGCTGATTAGGATGCACAGCGGGAGACACTGACCACGTGGGGCGACTTGGAGGCTTTGGCCACAGCGTCACCCCTCTCGTTGTAATACCTGCCAAAACAAGGAGAAGAGAGGAGTTACAGTACCACCCACCTGTTTTAAAATAGCCCCCAGCGTTTCGCTAAATGTCACATCCAATGCCATATTCAACACATCAGTCTGGTTTTTAATAAAAAGACGAAGCAGAAGACTGCCTCTCATTGTCTCTGTTAAGATTTTCTCACTTTTAAATGTGGAATTGAAGCCTTTCACACGGATTCTGCTTATATCTATATGACTTTTTTTCTGTTTGACTTCACTAAATAAAGATGGATGAGACCCTCTGACAGCCTGAATTGCTGTTTATCTGTGTAGATTTCTCAGTAATTGTGGATATTCTTATGATACTGAGCGCAGCAGGTTTTGTGGTTTTCTCTGCCAAATACTTTTGATGGAGTAATGTCAGGTCTGTTTTCCTGTGCTGTACACTGGCTACGTCAGTGCAGGCTCTTACTTTGAAATCTGAGTCTGGAATCCTTCGATCTTGGTGCGTGTGTTGGTCAGCAGCTCAAACACTTTCTCCTGATGGACACGAAGGAAGATTTAAAATGCAGCTGGATAAATTTCACCCTAAAGATAGACTCCACATGCGATTGTTTACTAACCTGGACAGCCACTCCGAAATTGTTCCCATCCTCAATTTTAGGAATCTGGAGTTGCACCCACATTGACACCTTCCAGGAAAATAAAAAGAAAAAAACCCCACTAGTATAATATACAAGACTTTTTTTATCACATTAATATTTTCTGCACATAAAACCCGACACATTTTTCTCCACATAAAGTTCTGAGACTGACCGTGTTGAGCTTCTCCTTCAGTGTCTGGATCTCAGTTTTGACCTTCGGCAGGAGGCTCTCCACCTGCTCATTGGTGCAGATGGGACCACATGGAGGGCCTGGAGGACAGAGGATAGCACTCCTTCACTTAGTGAGCTGCAGATTTGCTTTTCTAATATAGAAAAAGTTCCTTATGCCCTTGCTTTCTTCCAGTTAGCTAATCCGTGTGTAAACGGTGTTTAAACTTTGTGTCGTCAGCTCATGAGCCACAGTAGACTCATCAGTTTGTTACAAAGGAGCCAGAAAAGCATTGATGTGTTTCATACATGGGTTTGGAGCCTTTTTTCCTGCAGTTTTTATTGTCCTTATTTACAGGAATACGGTTACTGCTAAACGGATTCATCTTTCTTTCTATTTTTCCCCATTTACCTGCGTCTTCATCCTCTTTATCACTGTCCTTGTCTTTCTTCCCCTCCTTAGCCTCCTTCTGTAAAATAAGAATAGAAGGCATCGGGTCACAGTTTTTGCTGATGATTAATCTCCAAGACAGCTAGGCTGCACGCCTTTTTCTTTTCTGGCTTTTCAACCTTGGGATCTCTGTTGGATTCTTTTTCTTTGCTTAAGACATGTAACCCAGTTGCAGCAATCTGTGCCCCTTGATATTCTACGGAGACTCTAGCAGCTCCCGAAAGTTGTGCAACCACCCCAAATATTCTCCTAACCCTCGTTAAAAAAAACCCAGTGGCATTAGCTATACGGCTCTCTGCCCTCCTCCCTGCATGAGTATTAGTTCAAGACACACAGCCTTTGTACGGTTTATAAAAATCTGAAATTCACAGCCGACTGAAGTAACATAAAACACCCGCTTGCTGCCAGTTTGTAAAACAGCCCTTGGAAATTGCACAGTGATTGGTTGTCATGGTAACTGGGGACTCAGCATTGTGTCTTTATATAATGAAACACTAAATATAAACCCTGAGCCGAGGACCCCAGTTGAGAGGAGGCTCTATGAAGAAATTCAAAGGTTAGACAAATAAAACACAGATGTGAGGCTCCCTGATATGAAAGCCATTACATCTGGGTAATGGAAAAACAGCCGTCCTTCATAAATCACCCCGAATGCTCTTTTATTGGATTTATATCACAGTTTTAAAGAACAGTCTTCTGGGATGGAGTCCCCACCTGCTCTTTTTTCTTGCGCTTGGCCTCCTCTTTCGCCGGATCGGGTATCGGGATGTCGAGTGGAGCCTTCAAAGAAGGCAGATCGTTGCATCTGAAAGACTGACGCACAAACACAAGTCACCCAATGTGAGAATCAAGAGCCCAGTGGTATGTGCCCACAGTCACACAGGTGGATACCTTCAGCAGCTCCTGCAGCTCTTCGAGCTTCTGAGGGAAATATGTTGACACCAGCACCTCCGCCTGTTAAAACCAAGTAACAAAATCCACATTAACAATTCAAACTTGTGAAGCAGAGCTGGGAAAGATTTCTCATTTTCGTTTGAGTTACCTCCTTGGTGAGCTTTTGGCAGAAGTCGTCCACCTAGAATAAAGTCACAGATTTTAGGCTTGCTTATAAATGACCATTTTATTTAGACCCTGCTGCTGCTCACCTCCCGTGACCCCTGCTGTCCGTAGACACAAACCCCATGAAAACAAACACTTATGTGGACACTAGCTCGTCTGCTGACACACTAACCATGCAAGTGAAGGGAAAGGAGAGTTAGCTTGCTGCTACATAACACTTTGTGCTAGCGGACTCACCTGTTTCTTCGACTTGAGGCGAATATCCACAGCAGCCATGTCGTCTTTGGAGAGCAGAAGTTGTTTATTAGAGTTTAGTAAAGGCTTTGACTTCACAGGAGGCGGTTAGAAATAAGAATATGCTCTCTTTCTGTGTAATTCAATTCCGTGCACGACACGGACAAATACTCACAGTTACTCAGCATAAAAAGCGAAAATGAAAGTAAAGAGTGTTTTAGACAGTTCCGTACTTTCCTGCAATAATAGCGAATGGACGTGTTGCATTGTGGGCCGTGTAGTTTTATTTGACTTTATTTTATTTTATAAGGAGCAGTCGACTTCTCATTTCCCGGAAAATGGGGCTGTGATGGGAACAGAGTGGGGAAGTCTACAAGCAAAAAACACTCAGAGAAATGCGTTTCTGTGTGGCAGTAGTTATTTCTTTGTCTTCGAAGGGCTAACCCTCATCCCAGAATAAAAAAAAAAGTCACCTAACTCAAGGGATGAACCAATGTTGAGTCTAAACATTCACAATTTAGCCTCAAGAACCAATTCTTAAGGCACTTTAGTACGAGCAGCCTGTCACAAAAACATATTTTGCCCCCTCGTCGTTAAATTTGCAGAAATACCAAAGATAACTCAATTTGACAGGCATAAAATTATATTTTTGGACTAACAAGTTGATTCCTAAAAAGCTATTAGCTGAAAACCTGACATATATCTGAGTATTGTGCAGTATGTCCTTAAAGAATTGAGGAACCTATCCTCAAAAACAGGATGATAAACCTAAAAATAGATAGACCTAAAAACTGTCTACAGCAGAAGAACAGTATCTGAAAGTCATGTCCTTAGAAGCAGGAAAAACAATACATCAAAAACCTGACACAGGACCTCCGAGACGCATCTGAGACTTTTATTCATCTATTGTTCACTGAAGCCTGGTCAGAAATGGCCTCAGTGGCTATCAGTAAGCCTCTCTTAAAGAAGGGGGAACAACGAGGAAAAGCTGAGATTACACAAAAATTCAATCACAGTGATGTCCTTCAAAGCACCTGGACAACTATTCCTGAAGACTACAGAAGAAAGCTGTCAAATAGAATTCAGGCTGTGTGGATCTTATATATGCTGACTAAAGCTTGTTAGATTGCACAAACTCTGTTTTTGTCTCATGTTGTCTCATATTCTGATATATTCTGTATTTATGAAGAAACATATGAAGAAATGGCTCAAGACTTTTGCATTGTACTGTATATCAATTTTTGTGTCCATAACTATTATATATATTGTAATATTTAATACTCGGTTTATTTTATTTTATTTTGTCTTCTTTTTTCCTCTTCTTTATGTTTTTGTAAAAGCAAAAATCTTTGCACCCACTAACACAACCTAAAAATCAGAGCAATATCTGAAAAATAATTTAGAAAAAAAAATCCATCTTAAATCTAGTTAATGCTCAGATTGACCATAAGACATATTCCTGTCCTCTCAGTTATGTGTGTTAGATGTTAGATGAACAAATTCTGTATCAGCCCAGTCTGTGAGTTATGAGTGCTTCCACTGGTGGGTGCTGTTGTTCAGTGTGGAGTAAAGAAAAAGGATTATGAAGACAAACGACAGCTTTATGTTCCTCTAACCCAGTGGTTCCCAAACTTTTTTCGCTGGGCCCCCCTTTGTTTTACAGAAAAATGTTCGCGCCCCCCTCGCGCGCGCACACACACACGCACGCACTAACACATCCTCCAACCACACACACACATATTTTGCTCAATTGCGGTTTATTTCACACCTCAAACATTTAGTAAACAATTAAGCAAATACAAGTAATCTGCACTAAATTACAGGTAGTAAGAAAATAAACTACTAACTCTTTTACACTACGTCCACACTTTTGAAAACGCAGCTGTTTCGTCCACACGTAAACGGCGTTTGGAATCACCGAAAACTGAGATTTTTAAAAACTCATTTTTTGCGTGTATGTGTGGACGAGGAATACAGATTGTACAGTTCGTCAGGCAACGTCAAAGGTATGTGCCTTTTTTTCACGTCACGCCGTGCGCACGTTATTGCTTACATGAGAGGAATTGCAGAATGGCAGATAGTCAGATTAACAGTATTTTGTCTCTATCTTCAGGTTTTACAGGCTTACATATAAACACGCAGTTACTGTCCCTCCATTTACAAAGTCAGAGGCGTCACGGCGTAATTATTTTACATGTAGTTGTTTTTTTCCTGTGTAATAATATTCAACATTTTTTTAAAAAAAATGCCTCTCTGTGCAAAATGGGTTTAAAGACATAAACAGCTGTGGGATACTGTTTGTCCGTGATTTGAACCGGGGAACAAATCGTGGCAGGATCAGCCTGATATTATTTGTATCCCACTGTAACTTTACTGTATAAAGAGCAAACATCTCCAAAATTTCAGGAGTAGTTAGTCATTACAAGAAGTGTTGGTGAACTAAAAATCAAGAATGTGGGATCCTGTTTGTCCGTGATTTGCTCCCGACGCAGGGAAAACCAATTTTGCAGGGGAGACCTGCCTCGGCACTTGTGCAGGTGAAGCCAAAGGAAGATATGCTTCACCATATTTTCTAGTCTTTGGCTTAGAATAAAGTTGGTTTGGAAGCATATTCAGCGATGCTTCATCTCCTGCTTTGCGTTTGAATAGGCGCCCCGTGCTAGCAGTGTCCAAGCGTTGTTTTGTTTTTTCCCTTTTCATGCCCCTGCAATGGCTCTGCCCCACACTTTGGGAAGGTCTGCTCTAACCATTGGAAATTGTGCTGAAGTGTCTAAACTACAGTCTTGTCTATATGCAATTAGGGACTGGTTATCGGATAATTTCCTGCTCCTTAATACTGATAAGACAGAGTTGATGGTCACTGGACCACAAAAATTTCAGTACTTATCCCAAAATTTCAACTTGAAATTGCAGGGACAAGGTTGAAAACTTGGGCGTCTGGTTTGACAGGGTGCTCTCCTCGAGTCTCATGTAAAAGAGACAACAAAGACCGCCTTTTATCATTTAAAGACGTTTTGTCAAGTGACACTGCAGAGGTTCTTGTCCATGCATTTGTGTCTTCATGTATCGATTATTGTAACGCTCTTCTTTCTGGGCTACCAAAGAAAAGTTTTAGAGGTTTACAGATGGTGCAAAATGCAGCTGCTCGCATTTTAATGAAAACTGGGAAATTTGAGCACATTACCCCTGTACTGAGACCTCTTCATATGCTACCTTGTCAGGTTCAACAGATTTTAAGGTCGTGCTGCTCACCTACAAGGCCTTAAATGGATTGGCTCCTTCATAACTCTCTGACCTTTTGCACCTTTATGTTCCACCCCGTGCTCTCTGATCTCAGGATTCTGGCCTTCTAAAAGTTCCTAGAGCCATGAAAAATCTACATCAAATCATCAAATAAAGCTCAAATGAACCTGAAAGATGCTTCTAAGCTTTCTAACTTTTGAAAAAAAAGAAAGAAAAAGAGCACTACTCATTATTGATGAGCGTCTCTGCTGCTACACCAATATTCTGCTGTTACAATAGCTCTTTCATCAGGAGCTGTGTGGACAGAGGCATTGGCTGATCCAGTCAGTGTAAAGAGTAAAACA